ATTGTACAACATAGAGTGTTGCCAGATTCTGCAGAACAGCACTAAAAATTTGTCAGACAATGGATAACCTGTGCCATAAGCTAGTCTTAATAAGCATCCAGCTTGTCATACTAGGCTTTGGACAGTGATAGGTTTAATCGGCCACATATTCATTTTTATGCTCCCTAAACCCATCTTGTGCTCTTAGCTCTCCTTTTAGTTCTGTTTAGATTTCAATATTTATATATAGTCTCTCTTGTATCTTATCAGCTTTTTATAATAATAATGTTTAGACTTTGATTATTTTCTGTAGTTTTTGACTGAACGTACCCAAGTTCCTTATGCTGGTGTTTCAGTGTAATAAACATTTGATTTGATTTCATCAGGTAATATAATGCTTCCCCCCACCCTCTCTATGATCCCCTTGCAGAAGGACACCCAACAGCCAAAACCAGGCCAGGAGTGAGGAGGAACCAACAGGCTCTTTGGCCCTGAGCCTCAAGCTCCAAGGGGCTTCAAAATTAAACACATTGCAAAGTTTTTAAATGTTGAAATAACCAGATTATGGTTTCTCTCCCTCTCTCTGCCATTTTGGGGCACACCCCTTACCATGTCATATTTCATTATTCTCGGGAGCTGAAAATTATTGAAATGGTTCAAAAACCTCTGGATCTTTGAGAGGACCATTCCATAACGCGAACTCTTAATGGCTACAACATTGTGATGTCTTAGGGCAGGGGTAGGCAACCTTGGCTCTTTTAGGACTCGTGGACTTCAACTCCCAGAATTCCTGAGCCAGCCTGGCTCAGCTTGGAAACCTCTCCCAGTCCCCTCAGCATGGCTGGCTCAGGAATTCTGGGAGTTGAAGTCCACGAGTCATAAAAGAGCCAAGGTTGCCTACCCCTGTCTTAGGGGAATAAAATGGGACTTTAGCAAAGAGGAAATGGAAGAGAAGAACTTGGAAGAATTCCTGGCTGACTGGCTACTGAGTGCCAATGGAGTTCATTGGCAAGAGTGTTTCTTTTGATTTTCATTTTGTAAAGACTCAGGGTTTTTTTCTTCCTTTTGGGGCATGTTTCATACACACAACCAAAACACTAGAAGGCAAAAGAAAGGGGGCAGTGGGTATGAGTGTGAGGAGAGGATTAAGAATTTTTGCCATGGTTAAGAATTAAGTGTGGAGCAGAAATAAAAGAGCAGAAGGCCATTATGCAAAGATTCAAAGTAGACACATTGAGACTTTCATGAAGGGAATAGTGGAATACTCAACAAGAAAACCCTTTACAATAAAAAAATTAATTAGTTGACAGCCTATTAACCATATAGGAAATTAAGCAATAATCTAAAAGCCAGAAGGACTCTTTCCCCAGGACCAGGCTACAAGCCTCCAGTCTCCAACTGGAGAAATTTTCTCAGAAGAAAAGAGCCACAAGTTTATAGTTGATCATTAGGTCAAGCATGACAGTAGTCCTTGAGATGCCAATTGATAGGCAAAAGGTATGTCCATGGAAGAGGGGTAGGTGGGCAGGGCAAATTAAAATGAGAAAAGGAGCTGCTTTCTTGACCCAGGATGCTATCCAGGAAGTGCTTTCTATGCCACCTTGAGTTTCTGAAAAAAAGGGAATAAAATTATTATTATTATTATTATTATTATTATTATTATTATTATTATTATTATTATTATTATTATTATTATTATTATTATTATTATTATTATTATGTCATTCTTTGCATCTATCTTCACACAATCTACCAAAAACATAACTGTAAAAGACAGACTAGGAATACAAATTAAGCAACAACATAGTAAGTGGTATACCTGCCTGCTCTAGACGAGTTCAAATGACCAGGACCTGATGGATTACATCAAGGAGTTCTGAAGGAGCTGGCAGATGTGATCTTACAAACATTGAACCATATCTTTCAAAGGGTTTTCTGCTTGAGGGGTGTTTGGACTAGAGCAGGGGTGTTAAACTGCTGGCCCGTGGGCCGGTTTCACCATACCGGAGCCGCGCCCACCCCATTGCCGGCAACGGCGAAAAAGCTCCGATACGTTGTGCGACGTCATGAGTTTGACATGTCTGGACTAGAGGATCTCCAAGATCCCTTCCAACTCTGTTATTCTGTTAAATAGATTAATTAGACCTTACAAAACCTACAAACGCTATATAACTCATGAAATCAAGCAAAATTCTGCAACAGGCAATCTCATAGCCAGAGGAGCTAGTTCCCAGGGCCAGGCCTGAAGACACCAGTCTCCAATCAGAGAGACACTCCATTTCCTCAGAAGAGAAGTTTGAAGCTCAGATTTGAAGACAAAAATGATCCATTATCTGGAGAATAATGGGGAGCTGATTGCAAAGGTTTTCGACTAGATCTTTGAAAGGCTGCAGCCACAGGAACAGCTGAGTGGGTAGATTTTGTGGGGAATAAGAAGAGCCAGTTCAGTGTAGTGGTGAAAACTGCAGGCTACAGACCAGGAGGTGCTCAGTTCAAGTACCGCATTCATCTGGGCGTCCCTGGCCAGTCTCTCTCAGACCTAGGAAGCAGGTGAGGGGGAAACCTTGCCAAGGAAACTGCAGGGAAACCAGTCCAGGCAGTAGCAAAGGGTCAAGACTGACTTGAAGGCACCTAAAAGAAATATTGTGGGTAAGGGTCAATGACAGGGGATTAAAAGTGCAAAGAAGTTTTGGTTCACTGTCCAGTCAGGCAAGAAGGCAGCTTCCAGGAGCTATGCAATGCTGGGATGCCAATTGACAGACAAAAAGTATGCCCATGAAGGAAGATCTATGGATAGGGGAGATTAAAAACGGCCTCTTTCTTGGCCCAGGATGCTACCTAAGACAGTGGTGGTGAACTTATGGCACAGGTGCCAGAGGCGGCACTCAGAGCCCTCTGTGGGCATGTGCGCCGTCACCCCAATTTTAGGCCTTCAGCTGGGTTTTACAAAACCTTTTCACTTTAGGCCTCCACCGCCGTGTGCAAAAAAAAAAAAGTTCAATCAATCAATTTCAACTTCTTGCGGAAAAAGTTGGAATTGATTGATTGAACTTTTTAGTCCCACGCAGTCTGTTGTTACCACTGCAGCCATCCCCACGCATGGGCCACACCCACCCAACACCTGACAATGCATAAGTGGGTTTTGGGTTGCAGTTTGGGAACTCGGTCTCTAAAAGGTTTGCCATCACTGACTTAGGAAGTGCTTTCTATGCTTCTTATGAGTTTACAAAAGAAGAGAGAATCAGTACAATATATGTTGCGGTTGTTCAGGTTCACATTCCCCCATGCAACAGAACTTAGAGCCAACAGTTGGACTGGGTCTTCTCAATCTAGTTGGGCTGGCATTGCCATCCCGACCCAACGCCACCCCCCCACCCTCCTCACCCCAATGTTTTCCTTTCAGTTAGTTCTCGCTTCTAGCAAACAAAGCCACTGGGTCAGTTGGAGTAGCCATGAGTGCATCCCCGAGAGACCCGAAAAAACAGGTTAGGGATCAAACTTGCTAGGGTGAAGCTATCAATATGGTCGATAGTTTTCAAAAACACTTGATGGCGCATACACTACAGCAGTGTTTCTCAACCTTGACAATTTTAAGGGATGTGGACTTCAACTCCCAGAATTCCACAGCCAGCAATGCTGGCTGTGGAATTCTGGGAGTTGAAGTCCACATGCCTTAAAATTGTCAAGGTTGAGAAACACTGCACTACAGTAATCAATCTAAAATCTCGCGAAGAACAGAAGCCTCTACTTCAGCCTTCTGTCGCTAGATGGCGCGCGCTCTGTTAAAGGAGTAACACGCACGACTAGAAAGCCGTCAATACAGTCGATGGTTGCTGAGTACTAACATCGAACGGGAGATGGGGCGTCAGAGCCGAAAGGTGTTAAAACAATCGAGTACTGGATTTCTAGAGAGGATGTGGAAGAGTGGAGAAGAACAGAGGAATCTCCTCTTCCGGCTGACTCTCCGGCTGGGAGGATGGTAGCATGGAGGGCGGCTGTCCTGCTCTTCCCAGGACTGCAGCAGCTGGAAGGTGAGTTGAGGACTGGTCGGAGGAGAAGCCGGGAGCAAGTAGGGCTGTTTGGTTTCCTCCACAGAGAAGAAGCAAAGAAGAAATCAGGCTGAAACATGTCAGCTGCTGCTGCATGTTCCTTCCCTCCCCAAATTTTGTTCCAGGGTTGCTGGTCGCTTTAAAAGTGGTGTCGGCAATTTTATGCTGGTTGGGAGATTTAAAAAGTCTCCTTCATTTTAGGGTGGACTCTTTGATTTTATGGACGTGTTGTTTTCTTGGGAACTTGGGGAGTTTCATGGACAAAACTGGGGGTTATATCTTGCAGATGCTTTGGGCATCATTCATCAATTGAAGCCCCTCATCTGTTGAAACCCAGCTCCATCTAAAATTAGACCCAAATGGTTGAATATACCCACATTTTTGAGGCTGAAATATGCATGGATTTTAACATATATTTGTAGTTGTGTCTACCTATGCTTGTCTCTGTGTGCTTATCTGCATAATCTAGCCTCAGGATTTCCTGATATATTTGAAAATAACAGCTTGTAGTGGTAAGAATTTGTGATTTGCTGAAATCCAGAAGAGAATTTAATGATTGTGTGGCTTTTGAACTTGGAACTCACTAGTCTTCTATGGGTCAAATGAAGCATAGTTAATGTTAGAGATTAAACTAGCTATTTGGCATGTTTGCTTTTTCATTATGATGCATGCTTTTTTCCTTTTGCTATTTTCACATCTTCTGCACCCATTTTATAAACAACCATTAAACTAACCTTTTATGTCAATCTTGTAGACCAAAAGGACGCTAGGAAGAGAATTCTGGACAAGTGAGAATCACAAGCAGCATTAAAATGGAAAACTATTCAAACCAGCAGTGAAAGTCTTTCCCACTTCCTCCAGAAAACTACAAAATTCTTCTCCTTCCCCAGACAGGTGACAGACAAAAGAGAGAATAACAGGAAAAGAGTTTTGAGCTGGAATATGTAGAACTCAAGCAAACACTCAAGAAAAAAGTCAAGAGGGATCATTTCCAAATTCAGAAAAAGGGGAATACTTTGGAAATCAGAGGGGAGGAAGGGGTCACTTGGATAAGCATATAAGGCAGTCAGTCATGAAAGCGTCACACTGTGAAGAAAGAAATAGTAGCTTGAATCAAAGAAAACTATACGGGTGTTCAGATTGTAGGAAAACTTTCAGTCGGGATTCTCACCTGATGATACATCAGAGGACTCACACAGGAGGAAAACCATATGAGTGTTTGCATTGTGGGAAATGTTTCAGTCATAATTCCAACCTGATAATACACCAGAGAACTCACACAGGAGAAAAACCATATGAGTGTTTGCATTGTGGGAAAAGTTTCAGTCATAATTCCCATCTGGTTGTTCATTTGAGGACTCACACAGGAGAGAAACCCCATGAGTGTCCAGATTGTGGAAAAAGTTTCAGTCATAATTCCAACCTGATGATACACCAGAGGACTCACACAGGAGAGAAACCATATGAGTGTTTGCATTGTGGGAAAAGTTTTAGTCATAATTCCCATCTGATAGTTCACTTGAGGACTCACACAGGAGAGAAACCCCATGAGTGTCCAGATTGTGGAAAAGGTTTCAGTCAGTATTCCAACCTGATGATACACCAGAGGACGCACACAGGGGAGAAGCCATACAAGTGTCTGGACTGTGGGAAATCTTTCAGTTCAAAATCTGGCCTGGTGATACACCAGAGAACTCACACAGGGGAGAAACCATATCAGTGTCTGGATTGTGGAAAAAGTTTCAGTCAGTCTTCTAGCCTTGTGAAACACCAGAGGACTCACACAGGAGAGAAACCGTATGAGTGTCCGGACTGTGGTAAAGGGTTCTGTACTAAGACTAACCTTATTACTCATGCAGGTTTACATATAGGGGAGAAACCTTTCAAATGCCCAGAGTGTGGACGATGCTTCTCGCAAACCTCCTCCCTTACTGCACACAAGAAAATCCACATGACGCAGAAGGTGATGAGTGAAGAGAAGGCTTGAATTTCTTTTCTGACCTGCCTTTGCAAAAGCAACTGAGAAATTAACTATTTAATTTGTGGCCTCCTTCAGTTTAGTCAAACCTGTCCTCACTATTAGGCATTTTGGGAGGAAAGGAAACAAATGAAAATGGAAAATGTTACCTTGATAACGGTTAACTACTTGTGTTGGCTTAACAGCAGAATGTAGTAGATATTCCCTTTTGCAAAAATAGCGTAATTGCTACCAAATGTTTTTGAGGATTTTTTTTACATGTTGACTATCAGAGATCATAGAAAAGCAACGTACAGAAACCTGCTACAGATGCTAAAAAAATATATTAGAAGATAAGAGCTCTCAGATTTAGTTAACATTTGTAGATCCTCAGATATAAAGTGATAGGAGAGGAGAAGTAAAGACGGTTTGGAATTCATCTTTTCCTAATATTTTCTGAAAATCTGCAAGAAGAATCCCTGTTCAGACTGCGAACAGTGAAGCACAGAATGGAAAACATGAGAGGTTTGGGACAGTGAGAACAGCAAGAAAATAACATATCTGATGTTTGTTGAGCATGATATGCAAATGCTGCTGGAATATAGATAAAAGGGGGTTCTGTCTTTTGAGCATAGCATCTTCTGCTGTGATCTCATTTGCTTGGAGGTGCCTTCCAAGGCTGGCGGGTGATAGCATTGCAAGATGCTAAAATTTTGGCTGAGTTTAGAAACAGCAAAGAAGTCAAGGGTTGTTCATTTCAGTAACACAATTCAGGTTATAATACATCACCCCCGTGGCTCTCGATACACAGAAACAACGGAGCACTTGCTTCTCCAGTGGCTGAATTAGATGTTTGTACCAAGCTCGTCTCCTGTATTACATAAACTGCTGTTCTCTTAGCTCCATTTAGACTTCTGTTTTTTAATATACTCTGTCATTTATGTCTTTTGTTTTTTTTGGTACAATTGCTATATTTTAGACTTTGCTTTCTATAGTTTTTAGCTGAATACACCCCATGTTTATTACGCTGGTCTTTTACTGTAATAAAGATTTTAAACTTTATATTTAATTTTCATCATATTTAGTCTTCTCTTTTTTGTATCATCTTTGGGCACATCTGTTACTAAATTTTTTGTATGCTTTAGGCGCTGAAAATGCTTGAAGTAGCTCTAATGCCTCTTGATCTTCCAGACGACCAATTGCATAAAGCAAACTCTTAATTGCTACAAGATTAGGATGTCTTTGTGGAACAAAATGGGACATCAGCACAGAGAGAATGAAAGAGAATAATTTGGAAGAGTTACTGGTTGACTGGCTACTGTAATAGTTCAATGTAAATAGTGTGTTTCTTTTGATTATAATTCTGTAAGGGCTATATTTTTTTTTCTTTTGGGTGTGTCTCATACATACAACCAAAACACCAGATAGTCAGAAAGAACAATGGGTATGAGTGTGAGGAGACGAATAAGAATTTATACCCTGCTTAAGCATTAATTGTGGAGCAGGAATAAAGGAATAGTAATTGAATTCCATCACACAAACATTCAACATGGACACAATGAAACTGATACAAAGGGAATAGTGAAATTCCCAAAAACTCCTTTACAGTAGAATAAACATATTAATTAGACCCCACAAAACCTACAAACACTATATATAAATCATAAAAATCAAGTAAAATTCTGCAACAGGCAATCTCATAGCCAGAGGAGCTGGTCCCCAGGGCCAGGCCAAAAGCCACTAGTTGGAGAGACACTCCATTTCCTCAGAAGAAAAGTTTGAAGCTCAGATTTAAGACAAAATGGTCCTTTTTCTGGAAAATAATGGGAACTCAATTGCAAAGGTGTTGGACTAGAAGATCTTGAAAGGCTGCAGCCACAGGAACAGCTGAGTGGGTAGATTTTGTAGGGAATAAGAAGAGCTAGTTTGGTATAGTGTTTGAAGCTCCAGGCTACAGACGGAGAAGTGGTCAGTTCCAGGCCTGCTATAGGCCTGAAGCCATCTGGGCATGGTTTAACTTTAGATGGTATAGGTCAGTGGTGGCGAATCTATGGCACGGGTGCTAGAGGTGGCACTCAGAGCCCTCTCTGTAGGCATGCGCATCATCGCCCCAGTCCTAGGCCTTCAGCTGGGTTTTATAAAACCTTTTCGCTTTAGGCCTCCGCCACTGTGTGCAACAACAACAAAAAAAAGGTTCAATCAATCAATTTCAACTTCTCATGGGAAAAAAAAAGTTCTTGCAAAGTTGGAATTGATTGATTGAACTTTTTAGTCCCACCCAGTCTGCCGTTACTACTGCAGCCATGATGACCCAATTGGCCACACCCACCCAATTGGCCATACCCAGCCAATGGGCCACACCCAGCCAATGGGCCACACCCACCCGGCACTTGACGAAGCATAAGTGGGTTTTGGGTTGCAGTTTGGGCACTCGGTCTCTAAAAGGTTCGCCATCACTGTTATAGGTTCTCCTGTTTGAGCAGGGGGCTGGACTAGAAGACCTCCAAAGTCCCTTCCAGCTCTATTCTATTCTATCCCTGGCCAATCCCTCTCTCAGGCCTAGGAAACAGGAAAGGCGGAAACCACTTCTGAAAATCCTTGCAAAAGAAACCACAGAGAAAGCAGTCCAGCCACTTGACAAGTGTCACGTCTGACTTGAAGGCACCTAAAAGAAACATTGGCTGTAAGGATCAAGGACAGGGGAATAAAACTCCAAAAATGTTCTAGTTCAGTGTCAGATCAGGCATGAAGCAGCTTCCAGCAGCTATGCAATATTGGGAGGCCAATTGAGAGGCAAAAAGGATATCCATAAAGGGAGATAGGCAGATAAGGGAGATTAAAATGGGCCTCTTTCTTGGCCCAGGATGCTACCTAGGAACTGTTTTCTATGCTTCTTAATGTTCCAGAAAGAAAACAAAAAAAAAATACAATATATGTTGGGGTTGTTTTCATTCAGACTCCTCCATGCAACAGAACTTAGAGCCAACAGTTGAACTCCCGGTCTTTTGAGTCTAGTTGGGCAAGCATCTCCATCTCCCCTCCCCACCCCAAGGATGCTTTTCCTTGGTTTAGATCAGGGCTTTTCAACCAGTGGTACGGGTACCACCTGTGGTACATTGGCACCTGGCAGGTGGTATGCGACCATCCTAGAAAAGTGGTAGCGGGGGAGGGGAATGAGCTGAACCGGTAGCAGCACCGCACAAGCCTGAGCGAGAGACGGCTGGAGCTGCAGGGCTGTCAGGGCTCAGCGTAAGCGCTAGGATCAGCTCCAGGCTCTAGCTGGAGCTCGGTGCTGATCCTGGTGCTTCTGCTGAGCCCTGAAGAAGCACCAATCAGCTGGAATGTTGCAGCATCTCCAGGGACTTGTGATTTACATTCAGATGCTTGGCAACTGATTCATATTTATGACGGTCACAGTGTCCCAGGGTCATGTGAAGTGACCAAAACCTGCTGCAACCACCCAGCAGATGGGGGGGGGGATAAAAACCAAACACCCCCCCACCCCACCCCCGCTGCCAATCCTCAACAGAAATGCTCACAACAATGAAAACCTTGGATAGGAGGAAGAGCGCCGCTAGGTGGCCAGGCAGATGTCTTGCTTGGCTGTGCCTTGGGGGGCACGTTTTTCAGTGCCATTGTAACGTCAAACAGTCACTAAGCGAACTGTTGTAAGTTGAGGACTACCTTTACTTTTTTACTTTTTTACTTTTTTTTTTTTTGGTCATCAAGTTTTTGACACCTTGCTGGTGGTACTTGGATGTTGCCATATCCTAAAAGTGGTACAATGGGTGAAAAGGTTGAAAAGCCCTGGTTTAGTTCTTGCTTCTGTTGCAGTAGGTATCAATGCATCGATGTCACATCCAGTAATCAATCAAAAATCTTGCAAATGACAGAAGCCTGTAATTCAATAAAGGAGAATATTTGTAGCTCAGGTTTGAAATGGGAGGTCCTTGCTGCTCTCGGAACTTGCTGCTTCTTCTTCTTCTTTTTTTTTTTTTGCAGACGTTTCATTACCCAAACTAGGTCACATCAGCAGCACTGATGATGTTACCTAGTTTGGGTAATGAAATGTCTGCAAGAAAACAAGAAAGCTCACAAAGCACCAAGGCCTGTACTTCAGCCTTCTGTGGAAAGATGGCGAGCGTTTTATTAAATTGAGTAACACCCGGAGAATAAAAAGCCGTCAATACAGTACCGGCACCGATGGTTGCTGAATCCAACGGGAGGGGGAGCGAAAGAGCCCAAAGGTGTTGAAACAATAGAGTACTGGATTTCTAGAGAGGATGTGGAAGAATGGCAAAGGTGTTGAAACAATCGAGTACTGGATTTCTAGAGAGGATGTGGAAGAGAGGAGAAGAACACAGGAATTTCCTTTTCCGGCTGACCCATGGGAGGATGGTAGCATGGAGGGCGGCTGTCCTGCTCTTCCCAGGACTGCAACAGCTGGAAGGTGAGTTGAAGACAGGTCGGAGGAGAGGCCGGGAGCAAGTAGGGATGTTTGGTTTGCTCCACATAGTAGAAACAGAGAAGAAACTACTAGACAGAAATATGTCAGCTGCTACTGCATGTTCCTTCCTTCCCTAACTTTTGTTCCAGTGCTGCTGGTCGCTTTAAAAGTGGTGCCTGCTAATGTTCTGCTGGTTGGGAGATTTAAAATGTCTCCCTCAGTTTAAGGTGGAGTCTTTATGATTTTCATGGACGTGTCTTAGAAACTGGGGAGTTTCATGCACAAAACTGGGGATTATATCTTGCAGATGCTTTGGGCATCATTTCATCGGTTGAAGCCTCTCGTATGTTAAAGCCCTCCCGCGTCCCCCCCCCGTCTAATATTAGACCAACAAGTCTGAACGTATGCACTCCTGGGACATTTATGTGGCTGAAATACATATGGACTTTTAACATACTTACATTGAGGGTGGACCTATATTTGTCTCCGTGTGCATACCTGTATAATCTATCCTCAGTATTTCCTGATCTATTTAAAAATAACAGTTTGTAATGTTAAGAATTTGTGATTTGCTGAAGTCCAGAAGAGAATTTGTTTGTGTGGGTATTTGAACTTGTTAGCCTTCTATGAGTCAAATAAAATCATAGTGAATATTAGAGGTTAAACTAGTATTTTGGCATGTTTGTTTTTTTCATTATGATGCATGCTTTTTTTCCTTTTGCTATTTTCACATCTGCACCCATTTTATAAACAACCTTTTATGTCAATCTTGTAGACCAAGAGGACGCTAGGAAAAGAATTCCACACAAGTGAGAATTACAAGCAGCATTAAAAAGGAAAGCAAATCCAACCAGCATTGGAAGTCTTTTCCACTTCCTGCAGAAAACTACAACATTCTTCTCCTTCCCCAGACAGGGGATAGACAAAAGATAGAATAACAGTAAAAGAGTTTTGAACTGGAGTGTATAGAACTCAAGCAAACCCTCCAGCAAAAGGGGCATCATTTCCAAAATCAGAAAAAGGGGAATATTTTGGAAATCAGAGGGGAGGAAGGGGTCACTTGGATAGGCATATAAGACAGGTAGTCATGAAAGTTTCACGCCGTGAAGAAAGAAATAGTAGCTTGAATCAAAGAAAACCATATGGGTGTCCAGATTGTAAGAAAACATTCAGTCGGGATTCTCACCTGATGATACACCAGAGGACTCACACAGGAGAGAAACCATATGAGTGTTTGCATTGTGGGAAAAGTTTCAGTCAGAATTCCCATCTGGTGGTTCACCTGAGGACTCACACAGGAGAGAAACCATACAAGTGTCTGGACTGTGGGAAATCTTTCAGGTCAAAATCTGTTCTGGTGATACATCAGAGGACTCACACAGGGGAGAAACCGTATCAGTGTCTGGATTGTGGAAAAAGTTTCAGTCAGTCTTTCAGCCTTGTGAAACACCAAAGAACTCACACAGGAGAGAAACCCCATGAGTGTCCAGATTGTGGAAAAGGTTTCAGTCAGTATTCCAACCTAATGATACACCAGAGGACACACACAGGGGAGAAACTATACAAGTGTGTGGACTGTGAGAAATCTTTCAGTTCAAAATCTATTCTGGTGATACACCAGAGGACTCACACAGGGGAGAAACTGTATCGGTGTGTGGATTGTGGGAAAGGTTTCAGTCTGTCTTCCAGCCTTGTGAAACACCAGAGGACTCACACAGGGGAGAAACCATATAAATGTCTTAACTGTGGAAAAGGTTTCAGTCAGTATTCCCACCTTGTAATACACCAGAGGACTCACACGGGAGAGAAACCGTATGAGTGTCCAGACTGTGGGAAAGGTTTCAGTACTAAGACTAACCTTATTACTCATGCAGGTTTACACATAGGGGAGAAACCTTTCAAATGCCCAGAGTGCGGACGGTGTTTCTCGCAAACCTCCTCCCTTACTACACACAAGAAAATCCACATGAGGCAGAAGGTGATGAGTGAAGAGAAGGCTTGAATTTCTTTTCTGATCTGCCTTTGCAAAAGCAGCTGAGAAATTAACTTATTTGTGGCCTGATTCAGTACAGTCAAACCTGTCCTCACTATTAGGCATTTTTGGAGGAGAGGAAAAAAAATGAAAATGGAAAGTGTTACCTTGATCACAGTTAACTACTTGTGTCTGCCTAACAGCAGAATGTAGAGGATATTCCCTTTTGCAAAAATAGCGTAATTGCTACCAAATGATTTTGGGGATGGTTTTTGCATGTTGAACAACAGATCATAGAAAAGCAACAGACATATTTTCAGAAACCTGCTGCAGGTGCTAAAAATTAGAAGATAAGAGCTGTCTGATTTACTTAGCCATTTTAGCTCCTCAAATATAAAGTGATAGAAGAGGAGAAGTAGAGAGGGTTTGGAATTCATCTTTTCCTAATAGTTTCTAAAATTTTGGGCAAGAAGAATCCCTGTTCAGACTGTGAACAGTGAAGCACAACTGTGAGGCACAGAATGGAAAACATATAAGAGAGGTTTGGGACAGTGAGAGCAGCACAAAAATTACATAATGAGCATGATATGCAAATGCTGTTGGAATATAATAGAGAAAAGGCAGTGATTGTTTTTCAGCATAGGATCTTCAAGCTTACTAGCAACTCCTGCTGTGATCTCCTTTGCTTGCAGGTGCCTCTTGTTAACCTTTGAAGGCCGGTGGGCGATACCACTGCAAGGTGCTAAAATTTTGGCTGAGTTTAGAAACACCAAAGAAGTCAAGGGTTGTTCATTTCAGTTAAAGAATTCAGGTTATAATACAGCACCCCTGTGGCTCTGGACACACAGAAACAACGGAGCACTTGCTTCTCCAGTGGCTGTATTAGACGTTTGTACCAGGCTCATCTCCTGTACTGCATGAACTGCTGTTCTCTTAGTTCCATTTAGACTTTTGTTTTTTAATATACTCTGTCATATTTGTCTTTTGTTTTTTTTGGTACAATTGCTATTTTTTAGACTTTGATTACTTTCTATAGTTTTTAGCTGAATACACCTCATGTTCATTAGGCTGATCTTTCACTGTAATAAAGATTTTAAACTTTAAAATAATCAAATTATATTTAATTTTCATCATATTTATTTCTCTTTTTAGTGTCATCTTTGGGCACATCGGTTACTAATTTTTTTGTATGCTTTAGATGCTGAAAATGCTCGAAGTAGCTCAAAAGCCTGTTGATCTTTGAGAGGACCAATTCCATAAAGCAAACTCTTAGGTGCTACAAGTTTAGGATGTCTTTAGGGAACAAAATGGGTTATTAGTTATTAGAAAATGAAAGGGGATAATTTGGAAGAGTTAGTGGTTGTAAGATTTCCTTGTAAAGAGTTATGTTTCTTTTGACTATAATTCTATAAAGACTACATTTTGTTTTCTTTTGGGGTATGTTTTATTTTATTTTTTATTTATTTATTTTTCATAATTTATATGCCGCCCTTCTCCCCACGGGACTCAGGGCGGCTCACAGCATATTAAAATAACACAATACAAACAACACACACAACATTTCCCCTATAAAAGCCAATTAAAATCAAATATTTGTAGCTGTGACATTATTAAAATCATTAAAAATTATCCCTATTTAAAATTCACCCTAGGTCAGTCCCGCTTGCTGAAAGAGCCATGTCTTGAGGGCGCGGCGGAAGGTTAGGAGATCTGGGATTGTCCGGATCTCGGGGGGTAGCTCGTTCCAGAGGGTGGGGGCACCCACAGAGAAGGCCCTCCCCCTGGNGAAGGCCACTGGCAACCAGTGCAGCTCGCGCAGCAGCGGCGTTACATGGGAGCGACGCGTCGCTCCCAACACCGCCCGCGCGGCCGCATTCTGGACCAGTTGAAGCCTCCGGATGCTCCTCATAGGGAGCCCCATGTATAGAGCATTACAGTAGTCCAGGCGGGAGGTGACGAGGGCCTGAGTGACTGTGCGCAGAGCACAGAGCAGAGCACAGTATGTCTCATACATACAACCAAAACATCAGAACAACCAAGCACAGGGGATTAAAAGTCCAAAAATGTTTCAGTTCAGTGTCAGGTAAGGCATGAAGGCAGCTTCAGGAGCTATGGAATATTGTGATGCCAATTGAGAGACAAAAAATATGTCCATGAAGGGAGATAGGCAGTTAGGGGAGATTTAAATGGGCCTCTTTCTTGGCCCAGGATAGCAATAGCACTTAGACCTATGTATTGCTTCACAGTGCTTTACAGCAGGGCTTTTCAACCTTTTCACCCATTGTACCACTTTTAGGATATGGCAATATCCGAGTATCACCAGTCGCCTAGCAAGGTGTCAAAAACTTGATGACCAAAAAAAAGAAAAAGAAAAAAGTGATAAAGTAAGGTAGTCTTCGACTTACAATAGTTCCCTTAGTGACTGTTCAAAGTTACAATGGCACTGAAAAAAGTGTCCCCCAAGCCACAGCCGAGCAAGACACCTGCCTGCCCACCCGGCGGCGCTCTTCCTCCTGTCCGAGATTTTCATTGTTGTGAGCATTTCTGTTGAGGATTGGCAGCGGGGGTGGGGTGGAGAGTGTTTGGTTTTTATTCCCCCACCCCCTTCTGATGGGTGATTGCAGCAGGTTTGGATCACTTCACATGACCCTGGGACATTGTGACCATCATAAATATGAATCAGTTGCCAAGCATCTGAATGTAAATCACAAGACCCTGGAGATGCTGCAACATTCCAGATGATTGGCACTTCTTCTGGGCTCAGCAGAAGCGCCAGGATCAGTGCTGCTTTCAGCTGATTGGTGCTTCTTCGGGGCTCAGCAGAAGCATCAGGATCAGCGCCGAGCTCCAGCTGGGGCCTGGCGCTGATCCTGGCACTTCCACTGAGCCCTGACAGCCCCGAAGAAGCACCGATCATCTGGAAAGCGGTACTGATTCTGGCACTTCCGCTGAGCCCTGCAGCTCCAGCTCTCTCTCGCTCAGGCTTGTGTGGTGCTGCCACCGGTTCAGCTCATTCCCCTCGCCGACTACCACTTCTCTAGGATGGTCGCGTACCACGTGCCAGTTGCCAATGTACCACAGGTGGTACCCGTACCACTGGTTGAAAAGCCCTGCTTTACAGCCCTCTCTAAGGGGTTTACAGAGCCAGTCAGAATCTAACTGCCGGCAGCCAGCTGTCAGCAGAAGTAGCATGTAGTACTGCATTCTAACCACTGTGCCACCACTGCGCCATCTAGAAAGTGCTTTCTATTCTGAGTTCAGGAAATAAAATAAAACCAATACAATATACGTTGGGGTTGCTTTAATTCATATTCCTCCATGCAACAGATCTTAGAGCCAACAGTTGAACTGGGATCTTCTAAGTATAGTTGGTCCACCATCTCCATCCCTCCCCAATCCCCACTGTTGCTTTCCCTTGATTTCTCTCTTCTACCTAACAGAGCCACTGGGTCAGTTGCAGTAGCTATGAGTGCATCCCTGGGAGACCCGGGAAAAAAACATAGGGATCGGTCATGCTAGAGTGAAGCTATCGATATGGTCGGAGGTTTTGAAAACCACTTGATGGAGCAGGGAAGGACAGGAGAAGCGTATTTTTCAGCCTTCTGTCGCTAGATGGCGCTCCACGAAATGAGCCGCGACTGAAAAGCCGTCAACAGTAACAGGATCGATAGTTACTATGTACAGTACTGACATCCAACGGGAGGGGGAGCGACGGAGCCGAAAGGTGTTTTGAAACAATAGAGTACTGGGTTTCTAGAGAGGATAGGGAAGAGAGGAGAAGAACAGAGGAACCTCCTCTTCCGGTTCATGCATGGGAGGAGGATGGCGTGGAGGGGGGCTCTCCTACTACTATTTCCAGGATGACAGCTGCTGGAAGGTGAGTTGAGGACAGGTCGGAGGAGAGGCTGGGAGCAAGTAGGGCTATTTGGTTTCCTCCACGCTTTCGGAGCAGAACAACAGAATGGGAAGGGACGATGGAGGTCTTCTAGCCCAACCTGCACTGCAGCCAGTGGCATCCTCTTTGTTTTTGCAATCATTCCCTATCGCAGCGTTTCTCAACCTTGACAATTTTAAGGCATGTGGACTTCAACTCCCAGAATTCCACAGCCAGCATTGCTGGCTGTGGAATTCTGGGAGTTGAAGTCCACATGCCTTAAAATTGTCAAGGTTGAGAAACACTGCGCCTATCGGATATCTCTGAAAATTAGTGGAATTAGCCATAGAGAAAATGTTCCCCTAGGAGGACTTTTTCCTTAATACTGAGATCAGTTAGGAAGGCGTTGCATGAAATCCCCTCATTGGCAAAGTGACCTAGAGAACTGTTGGCGGAGATTTATGTTGCCTTAGTAATTGAAGGAATTGAATTTCCTTCGATTCTTGGATTCACGAAATCTGCGGTGGAAGGAGGGTCATTTTAAAAACGAAAACCTTTAAAAAGGAGGTTGGTGAAAGATAGGAACCTGCAAACAGTGAAACATTCCTTGGCAGGGGATACAGTGAAAAGAATGGATTTTGCATTTTGCCTTGCATTTTGTCTGCCTCAGATGGAATTATGTAGCAGGCGGAGAAAACCTTGGTCAGGGGGTCCCGTCTCATTCCCAGGGATCCTTTCTGACCTATGAAGTCCCGAAATGAGACTCAACTGTGAGGATCTGGTTACTACTTGCTACCTGTGCATAGAAAAAAAACCTGCCTGTTCCTCTGCACAGAGATGAGCAACGTGGAAGGGAAATGTTGGCCTGGATTTCACTCGAGGAATGGAGTTCAAGCCAGGCTCCATTTCCAAAAAGAGAAATAGGAATGTATGATGACCGTTAATCAATAGAATAGCAGAATAACAGAGTTGGAAGGAACCTTGGAGGTCTTCTAATTCACTAATTTAGTCATTTTGTCAAAGAGTGAAATAAGATTTCTTTGGCATGGTCTGTTTCTGACATACCCGGGTTGGCTTCTGGTTATAATGTTGCTTGCTTCTAGGTGTTCGCAGATCTGTTGCTTTATTATATTTTCCAGGATCTTCCCTGTTATTGATGTCAGGCTGATTGGTCTGTAGTTCCTGGATCTGTTTCCCCCCCCCTCTGTTTTGAAGATGGGAACCATATCAGTTCATTCCCAGTCTCTGGCAGTTCCCCAGGGCTCCAGGATCTTTGAAAGATATGGTCCAGTGGTTCCAAGATCACATCTGCCAGCTTCTTCACTGGGAGCTGGCAGATGACTGGGATGTAATCTATCAGGTCCTGGTTATTTGAACTTGTCTACAATGGACAAGTGTTTTCTTGCTTATTTTGATTTGTATTCCTAGTCTGCCTTTTACTGTTATGTTTTTGGTAGGTTAGGCTGTATTATCTTTTTGCATGAAGACAGATGAATTAAGGAGCTCTGCTTTCTCTCTACTGCCCATTACTTCCTTGCCATTTTCTCTCATTAGTGGACCAATTATTTATTTGACTTTTTTCTTGTTTTTTATTTGTTGAAAGAATTTTTTTTATTATTTTTGACAGTTGTTGCAAGTCTTTTATAGCCTTCTGAGCCTTAGCTTTCCTGATTTTATCTTTGCAAGTTTGATCTATTTATTTGTATTCTGCCTTAGTGTCCTTTCCATTTTTTTGTACTTGTTCTTTTGTCTTCTTCTTGAGTTGTTCCCCCTTTAAGATTTTCATCCATGATATCCTTCCCAAGCTCTCTCTAAGCTTGTTAAAAATCAGCTCTTTTAAAGACACTGGTTTGATTTTGTTCTATTCATTGTGTTTGAATTATATTGATTTCCAATATGACAGGGTCACTCTCTCCCAAAGTTTTGGCAACTTCAACCCCCTCTATCATTTTTTCTGTGTTAGTAAAAATTAGATCCAATATAGCTGTCTCTCTAGTTCCCTGCTCTATCGGTATCTTTTGGATGACAAAGTTGTTAGGTAGATTGGTCAGGAACCTGTTCGGTCTCCTAACTGATGCAGAACTTTTCTCCCAATTGATGTCAGGATAGTTGAAGTCCCCCATTACTACTGTGGTGTGTTTCCAAAATAATAATAAAAAATAATAATAATAATAATAATAATAATAATAATAATAATAATAATAATAATAATAATAATAATATAGAGTTGGAAGGGACCTTTGAGGTCTTCTAGTCCAACCCCCTGCTCAGGCAAGAAACCCTATACCATTTCAGACAAATGGCTGTCCAGTCTCTTCTTAAAAACATCCAGTGTTGGAGCATTCACAATTTCTGGAGGCAGGTTGTTCCACTGATAAATTGTAGGAAATTTCTCCTTAGTTCTAGGTTGCTTCTCTCTTTGGTTAGTTTCCATCCGTTGCTTCTTGTCCTGCCTTCAGGTGCTTTGGAGAATAGCTTGATTCCCTCTTCTTTGCGGCAACCCCTGACTTTTGTTAATATATGCAGCAAAGAAAAAACTAGGCTGAAACATGTCAGCTACTGCTGCATGTTCCTTCCCTCCCCAAATTTTGTCCCTGTCGTTTTAAAAGTGTTGCCTGCAATTTTTGCTGATTGGGAGATTTAAAAGTCTCCTTTAATTTAGGGTTGACTGTGATTTTTTAAGATGTGCTGTTTTCTTCGAAACTGAAGGGTTTCGTGCATATATCTTGCAAATGCTTTGAGCACCATTTCATTGGTTGAAACACCTCATCTGTTGAAGCCCTCTCCCCCTCTGAAATTACACCAAAAAATGTGGGCATACCCACTTCTGGAAAGTTTTTTTTTTGGCCGTAATACACATGGATGTTTAACATACTTACACTGGCAGTGGTGTCAATATTTGTCTTTGTGTGTATATCTGTATAATCTGTCCTCAATATTTCCTGTAGTATTTAAAAATAATGGTTTGAAATGCTAATAACTTGTGATTTGCTGAAGTCCAGAAGAGAATGTAATGTCTGTGTGGATATTTGAACTTGGATCTCGCTAGTCTATGAGTCAAATGAATCATAGTTAATGTTAGAGGTTAATCTAGCATTTTGGCACGTTTGCTTTCTCATTGTAATGCATGCTTTGTTCTCTTGCTGTTTTCACATTTTCTGTAGCCACTTCATTAAACAACTGTTAAACTATGGGTTTATGCCAATCTTACAGGCAAAGAGGATGCCAGGAAGAGAATTCCAGACAAGTGAGAGTGAAAAGAGGCATTAAAATGGAAAGCAAATCCAGCAAGCAATGAAAGTGTTTTCCACTTCCCCTGGCGGGTGACCGACAAGAGAAAGAATAACAGGAAGAAGGTTTTGGGCTGAACTCAAGCAAGCACTCCTGAAAAAGGTCAGGAAGGATCATTTCCAGATTTACAAAAAGGGGAAATACTCTGGAAATCACTGGGGCGGAAAGTGTCACTTGAGTAGGCATATAAGACAGGCAGCCATGGAAGCTTCACCCTGCCAAGAAATAAAGAGTAGCTTGAATCAAAGAAAACCATATGGATGTCCAGACTATGGGAAAACTTTCAGTCGGAATTCTCACCTGAAGAAACCCCAGAGGACTCACAAAGGAGAGAAACCATATAGGTGTCAGGATTGTGGGAAAAGATTCAGTCATAATTCCCATCTGGTGGTACATCTGAGGACTCACACAGGAGAGAAACCCTATGAATGTCCAGATTGTGGGAAAGGCTTCAGTCATAATTCCAACCTGATCATACATCTGAGGACTCACACAGGAGAGAAACCATATGAGTGTACAGATTGTGGGAAAGGTTTCAGTCATAGTTCCAACCTGATGATACACCAGAGGACTCACACGGGGGAAAAACCATTTGAGTGTTGGGATTGTGGGAAAAGTTTCAAACAGCATTCTGATTTTGTGAAACACTGGAGGACTCACACAGGAGAGAAACCATATGAGTGTTCCGATTGTGGGAAAGTTTTCAGTCATAATTCTGATCTTCTGAACCACCAGAAGAGTCATACTGGAGAGGTCCCATACAAGTGTCTGGACTGTGGGAAAGGTTTCATTCGGAATTCTGCCCTGCTAATGCACCAGAGGATTCACACTGGGGAGAAACCGTACAAGTGTCCAGATTGTGGTAAATGTTTCAGTTGGAATTCTAGGCTTGTGATGCACCAGAGGACTCACACAGGGGAGAAACCATATGAGTGTCCAAATTGTGGGAAACGTTTCAGTCATAAATCCAACCTGATGATACACCAGAGGACTCACACAGGAGAGAAACCATTTGAGTGTCAGGATTGTGGGAAAAGTTTCAGTCATAATTCCGACCTTGTGAAACACCAAAGGATGCACACAGGGGAGAAACCATATGTGTGTCAGGATTGTGGGAAATGTTTCAGTGTTAATTCCAACCTTGTGAAACACAAGAGGACTCACACGGGGGAGAAACCATATAACTGCGCAGATTGTGGAAAATATTTTCGTTGGAAATGTGTTCTGGTGACACACCAGAGGATTCACTCAGGGGAGAAACCATATCAGTGTCTGGATTGTGGAAAAAGTTTCAGTCAGTATTACGTCCTTGTGACACACCAGAGGACTCACACAGGGGAGAAACCATATGAGTGTCCGGACTGTGGGAAAGATTTCAGTACAAAGTCTAGCCTTATAAGTCATGTAGGTATACATACAGGGGAGAAACCTTTCAAATGCACAGAGTGCAGACAATGCTTCTCGCAAAGTTCCTCGCTTATTAAACACAAGAAAATCCACATGAGGCAGAAGGTGATGAGTGAAGGGAAGGCTTGAATTTCTTTTCTGATCTGCCTTTACAAATGCAACTGAAAAATGGACTATTTAATTTCTGGCCTTATTCAGTTTAGTCAAACATGTCTCAACATTAGGCAGGAGGGAGAAAAGAAATGGAAAGGAAAAATGTTAGCTTGATCAAGGTTAACTACCCGTGCCTTGCTATTAGCAGAATATAGTGGATATTCTTTTTTTCAATAATAGTGCAACTGCTGCACAAATAATGTGGGGTTGTTTTTGCATATTGATGAACAGATGTCTTAGAAATGCAACATTCAGATTTTCAGAAACCTACTGCAGGTCCTATAAAATATATTAGAAGGTAGGAGCATTCTGATTTACTTAAGTGGATTGTAGCTCCTCCAATATGAGGCGATAGGAGAGGTAAAGTGGGATCAGAATTCATCTTTTCCTAACTTTTCCAGAAATTCAGTACAGGAAGAACCCCTGTACAGATTGTGAACAGTGAAGCAAGGACAGTGAGGGACAATGAAACACAAAATTGAAAACATGAGGGAGGTTTGGGACAGTGAGAAGAACACAAAAATGTCACATGTAAAGATTGTTGACCATGATATGCAAATGCTATTGGAATGCTGTAGGGAAAAAGGAGTTGTAGTTTTTGAGCATAGGATTTTCATGTTTTCTACCAACTGCTGCTGTAATCTCCTTTGTTTGGAAGTGCCTCCTGTTAACATTTGAATGCTGATCGATTAACCTTTGAATCTTGGCAGTGCCAAGATGCTAAAAAATTGGGTGAGTTTAGAAAAATTCAAGGGTTGTTTATTTCAGTAATACATTTCAGGTTATAATACAATGCCACTGTAACTCTGGACACACAGAAACAATAGAGCACATTCTTGTCCAGTGGGTGTACAGATATTTGTATCCGGGTCGTCTCTCTAGTACTGCATAAATACTCAGGGCACACAGTACAATTCTACATCTCCCTACTGCTTTCAGAGAGTCATTCTGGTGCTATATGCAGTATAATGTTGCCAGATTCTACAGAGCAGCACTTAAATATGGTCAGATGATGGATGACCTGTGCCATAAAGTAGTTTTAAGGAACATCCAGCTCATCCTACAGTCTGCTTTGTGGAATGATAGATTTAATCTGCCACATAATAAATAAACCATTCAACCTACAGGCATCTTATGTCCTTGGTGTGCTCTTAGTTCCATTTAAACCAACGGCCCACAACCTTTTGGGCACTAGGGACCAGTTCCATGGAAAGAGTTTTTTCCCTAGATCGGAGGGGCCGTGGTTTTGTGTGCTGCCTGCATTCTGAAGATGGGGCTTTGCTTGTTTGCATGGCCCAGTTGCTGGCATGCTGCAGCCGGGTGCTGGTCCATAGACCGGGTATTGGGGACCCGATTTAAACTTCTGTTTTTATATATTTATATATTTCATTTATGTCTTATTTAGTATAATTACTATTTTTAGACTTTATTTTCTGTACTATTTAGCTGAATACATCCCACGTTCATGCTGGCTTTCACTGTAATAAAGATTTTAAACTTTAAAATAATTAAATTATATTTAATTCTCATCAGATTATATTCAATTCTCTCTTTTTAGTGTCATATTTGGGCATTATCTGATGTCACATTTTTTATGCTTGGGCACTGAAATTGCTTGAAATAACTCAAAAGCCTTGGATCTTTGAGAGGACCATTACGTAATGCAAACTCTTAGTGGCTACAACATTCTGATATCTTTGGGAAACAAAAAGGGGACATTAGTGCAGAGGGAATGGAAGTGACGAAGTTGGAAGAGTTCATGGCTGACTGGCTATTGTAAGAATTCATTCCAAAGGGTGTGTTTCCTTTGATTATTATTCTGTAAAGACTCTTTTTTTTTCTTTTGGGGTGTGTCTCATACATAACAACCAAAATACCAGATGGCAAGAAAGAGGCAATGGGTATGAGTGTGAGGTGAGGAATAACAATTTATGTCATATTTAAGAATTAAGTGTGGAGCAATAACAATTGAATTTCATTACACAAACATTCAAAATATACACAATGAAACTGGTACAAAGGGAATAGTGGAATTCTCATGAATAACTCCTTTACAGGTGAACAAATAGATTAATCGTTTCTGAAAATCCTTGTCAAGGAAACTGTAGGGAAAGCAGTCCAGGCCCGGTGTCAAGTCTAACTTGAAGGTACCTAAAAGAAACATTGAGTTTAAGGGTGAAGGGTGGGATTAAAAGTGCAAAAAACCTCCAGTTTATTGTTAGATCAGGCATGAAGGTAGATTGAGATGCCAATTGACAGGCAAAAATTATGTCTGGGAAGGGAGATAGGTGGCTAGAGGAGATTAAAATGGGCCTCTTTCTTGGCTCAGGATGCTATCTAGGAAGTGCTTTCTATGCTGCCCGGAGTTCCTAAAAGAAAAGAGAATGAATAAAAGATAGGTTTGGAATGCAACAGAGCTTAAAGCCAACGGCTGAACTGGGTCTTCTATATATCATGTACTTTGACCTGAGTGTGAGTGTGCTCTTTTGGTATTGGTGGATTAATCTTATTATGTCCTCAAAGGTCCTGTCTTTTAGAGTTTGGGTGGGGTATGTAGATTCCTAATCTCATAGCTTCTAGCTTCCTGACCCCAACCTTCCTGAATGAATTATTGAATTTGCATTTCTAAAAGCTGGCCTCTGCCTAGGGCAGTGTTTCTCAACCTTGACAATTTTAAGGCATGTGGACTTCAACTCCCAGAATTCCACAGCCAGCAATGCTGGCTGTGGAATTCTGGGAGTTGAAGTCCACATGCCTTAAAATTGTCAAGGTTGAGAAACACTGGCCTAGGGGCTGGGGTTGGTTTCTGTCTTTTTAAAGATCTTCTCCATTATTCCTTTGGGGAAATATATTCTGCCTTTTTAATATTTCCCAAAATATTTCTTTCTCTGGATTCTTCCCACAAGATGAAGCTGGCAATAATTTAGAGCTACACATAAACAAGAACTCCATGAACTTTTAGGGCCCAGCAACCGGCTTAATCTGGCAAAGCTAAGTAGACTCAGTGAAGAGTAAACTTCACTTTTCAAGCTTCCCTCGGTTTGCAAAGGTAGATTTTGAGGAGTTATCCTTGCCCCCTAGGACGAAAAACTGGCTGGGACAGAATTCATGCATGCACAATAAATGATGTATAATTGTTGCTGTTTCTTCTTCTTCTTCTTGTGCCATATCCGTTATCGGATGTTGGCGATCCTGTTTTTATCAGCAGCCGCACGAAAAAGTGCTGCTGAGTTTTATCCAAACCAGTCCCTTAGATTTTGAAGCCACAATGTTCTTCTTCTGCCTGGACCTTGTTTGCCTTCAATCTTTCCCTGGATAATTAAATGGAGTATGCCGTATTTTTCTGGGTGTCGCATCACATGTCCAAAATATTCTAATTTTTGTTTTTTAATTGTTTTGATGATTTCCCTTGGCTTTCCCAGGCAGCTTATCACCTCCTCATTTCTGAGTTGCTGTTTGTGTGCACACTGTTTCCCGCTCCCCCCCCCATGTTGGTTTAAGTTCTTGCTTCTTGCAAACAGAGCCGCTGGCTCAACTGTAATAGCTATGAGAGCATCCCTGAAAGACCAGAAAGAACAGGTTAGGGATCGACCCAAAGTGAAACCACCGCTGTGATTGCTGTTGAAAACCACTTAACGGCAGATACAGTAATCCAGGGGTCTTCAAACATGGTGCTTTTATAACTTGTGGATTTCAACTCCCAGAATTCCTCATACTGGCTGAGGAATTCTGGGAGTTGAAGTCCACAAGTCATAAAAGGGCCAAGTTTGAAGACCCCTGCAGTAATTGATCAAAAATCTTGCAAACAAGAACAGTGATTTTTCAGCCTTATGTCGCTAGATGGCGCTCCATGAAATGAGTATTGTAACATCCGGCGACTACAGTAGCGGCATCGATGGTTGTTGAATACTGAAATCCAACGGGAGGGGGAGCGAGGGAGCCGAAAGGTGTATAAACACACGAGTACTGGATTCCTAGAGAGGAGAACAGAGGAATCTCCTCTTCCGGCTGGCCCGTGGGAGGATGGAGGTCTGGAGGGCGGCTCTCCTGCTCTTCCCAGGATCAAACAGCAGCTGGAAGGTGAGTTGAGGACAGATCGGAGGAGAGTCGGGGAGCAATTAGGGCTGGTTGGTTTCCTCCACAGTGTAGAAACAGAAGAAACCAGAGTGAAAATGTCAGCTGCCTACTGTATGTTCCTTCCCTCCCCAAATGTTGTTCCAGCGGTGCTTGTCGGGTCCTCCTGCTTGATTGGGTAATATACACTGAGGACAGGGGTAGGCAACCTTGGCTCTTTTATGACTCGTGGACTTCAACTCCCAGAATTCCTGAGCCAGGAATTCTGGGAGTTGAAGTCCACGAGTCATAAAAGAGCCAAGGTTGCCTACCCCTGACTTAAGACAACGGAGATGAGCACCGTGCCCTAGAGTCAGACGTGACCGACAGGGAAATTTTTACTTATTGCAAATCTATATAATCTATCCTCAGCATTTTCTGATATATTTGAAAATAACAGTTTGTAATGATAAGAGTTTGTGATTTACTGAAGTCCAGAAGGGAATCTAATGATTGTGTAGATATTTGAACTTGCATTTCGCCAGACCTCTATGTGTCAAATGAAGCCTTTTGGCATGTTTGCTTTTTCATTTACTGCATGTTTTTCCCCCCCTCTTGCTGTTTTCACATCTTCTGCACCATTAAACTAAGAGTTTATGTCCATTTTATAGATAAAGAGGATGCCAGGAAGATAATTCCGGACAAGTGAGAATCACAAGCAGCATTAAAAAGGAAAGCATATCCAGCCAGCAATGAAAGTCTTTTCCACTTCCTCCAGAAAAGCACAAAATTCTTCTCTGTTTCCATGCATGTGACGGACAAAAGAGAGAATAACAGGAAGAAAATTTTAGGTGGAAAAACTGAGTATGTAGAAGTAAAGCAAGCACTCCAGGAAAAGGTCAAGAGGGATCATTTCCAAATTCAGAAAAATGGGAAATATTCTGCAAATCATTGGGGAGGAAGGGATCACTTCTATAATCATATAGGATGGGTGATCTTGCAAGCCTTGCCCTGTGAAGAAAGAATAGCTTAAATGAAAGCACGCATCCAAGAAGGGATCCAACATATTTTTGACCTTGAGAATCCAAAAATATCATTGGTAGAAAAGCCCCACCGATGTGCACATTGTGGGAAAAGAACAGATTGCAGACCACACCTGATTATACCTGAGAGGAACCACACCGAAGAAAAATCCACCTTCTATCCTCAAGGTGACAAAACTTTAGGAAACATGCTACTCTAGTGATAGAAAAAAGACCTGAAATGGGGGAGAAGTCATTTGGGTGTTCTGATTGTGGGAAAACTTTCAGTAGGAATTCTCACCTGGTGACGCACCGGAGGACACACACAGGAGAGAAACCCTATGCGTGTCCAGATTGTGGAAAACATTTCAGTCAGAATTCCCACCTGGTCTCACACCAGAGGACTCACACAGGGGAGAAAATGTATGAGTGTCCAGATTGTGGGAAAGATTTCAGTCATAACTCCAACCTGGTGATACACCAGAGGACTCATACAGGGGAGAAACCCTATGAGTGTCCAGTCTGTGGGAAAGGTTTCAGTCATAATTCCAACCTTGTGAAACACCAGAGGACTCACACTGGGGAGAAACCATATATATGTCCAGATTGTGGGAAAGGCTTCAGTCAGAAATCCCATCTTGTTAAACACCTGAGTATTCACACTCGGGAGAAACGGTACGAGTGTCCCCATTGTGAGAAATGTTTCTTCTGTAATTCCAACCTGAAGATACACCAGAGGACTCACACAGGAGAGAAGCCATATGAGTGTCCAGATTGTGGGAAAGGTTTCAGTCTGAATTCAAGTCTTGTTAAACACCTGCGGATTCACACTCGGGAGAAACGGTACAAGTGTCCTGATTGTAGGAAAAGTTTCAGTCATAATTCTGACCTTGTGAAACACCTGAGGATTCACAGAGGAGAGAAACCCTTTGAATGTCCTGATTGTGGGAAAGGTTTCAGTCATAATTCCAATCTTGTGAAACACCAAAGGACTCACACAGGTGATAAACCATATAAGTGTCTGAACTGTGGAAAATGTTTCAGTTGGTATTCTGGCCTGGTGAGACACCAGAGGACTCACACAGGAGAAAAACCATATGAGTGTCCAGACTGTGGGAAAGGTTTCAGTACTAGAACTAACCTTATAAATCATGTAGGTTTACACACAGGTGAGAAACCTTTTAAGTGCCCAGAATGTGGACGGTGCTTCTCACAAAATTCCTCCCTTACTGTACACAAGAAAATCCACATGAGCCTGAAGATGATGAGTAAAGAGAAGGCTTGATTTTTTCTCATCTCCCTTTGGAAATGCAACTGAGAAATTAATCATTGAATTTCTGGTCTGATTTTGTTTAGTTAAACATGTCTCAGTATTAGAATAGAATAGAAGTAGAAATAAAATAGAATAGAACGGAATGGAACAGAACAGAACAGAACAGAACTGGAAGGGACCTTGGAGGTCTTCTAGTCCAGCCCCCCGCTCAAGCCCTCTGGTGCTTTGGAAAATAATTTGATCCCCTCTTTTTTGTGGCAGCCCCTCAAATACTGGAATACTGTTATCATGTCCCCTCTATTTCTTCTTTTCTTTAGACTAGCCAAACCTAAGTCCTGCAGCCGTTCTTCGTATGTTTTAGTCTCTAGGCCTTTGATCATCTTAGTTGCTCTTCTCTGAATTTTTTCCAAACTCTCATCTTTTTTGTGATATGGTGACCAAAATTGGCTGCAGTATTCCAGGGTATGGTCTTACCAGGGTTTTATAAAGCGGTACTAATACTTCGCGTGATCTTGATTCTATGCCTCTGTTTATACAACCCAGGATTGTATTAGCTTTTTAGCAGCTTTTTTGGCTGCTGTTGCACACTACTGGTTCATAGTCAAGTGATCATCCACTATGACGGTCCCTCTCATAGTTACTGTTTTTAAGCCAGGTTTTGCCCAGTCTGTACTTGTGCCTTTGATTTTTCCTACCTAAATGTAAAACTTTGCTTTTCTCCACACTGAAGCTCATTTTGTTGGACAGGGCCCATTGTTCAAGTTTGTCAAGATCTTTTTGGATCCTGAGCTTGTCTTCTGGGTGTTGGCTACTCCTGCCAGATTGGTGTCATGTGCAAATTTGATGAGTTCCCCTTCAGTTCCCCCATCTAAGTCATTTATGAAGATATTGAAGAGTACTGGGCCTAAGACGGAACCTTGTGGTACCCCACTGCTTACCTCTCTCCATGTGGATGTAGTGCCATTGAGGACTACTCGTTGAGTATGGTTTGCCAGCCAGTTACAGATCCATCTGGTGGTGATGTTGTCTATTCCACCTTTTTCTAGCTTGCCAAGGAGTAGGATGTGGTCTACCTTATCAAATGCCTTACTGAAGTCTAAGTATACTACGTCCACAGTATTTCGCTGGTCTTAGTTTAGTCACTTTATCAAAGAATGAAATAAGATTGGTTTGGCATGATCTGTTTTTGACAAACCCGTGCTAGCTACTAGTTATAACTTTGTTTGCTTGTAGTTGTTCACAGATCTATTTTTTTATTATCTTTTCCAGGATCTTCCCAGGTATTGTTGTTAGATTGATTGGTCTGTAGTTTCCTGGGTCCCTTTCTTGAAGATGGGAACATCAGCCCTTTTCCAATCCTCAGGTATTTCCCCAGTGCTCCAGGATTTTTGAAAGATATGGTGCAATGGTTCTGAGATAACATCTGCCAGCTCTTTCAGATTTCTGGGATGTAATCTGTCGGGTCCTGGTGATTTATATTCGACAAGGTCGGATAGGTATTCTCTTCCATTTTCTTGCTTATTTTAATTTTTGTTTCTAGTTTGTCTTTTGCAGTATTCTTTTTAGTATGTTGTGCTATAAATTCTTTTTGTGAAGACTGATGGAAAGAATGAGTTAAGCAGCTCTGCTTTCTCCCTATTGCTTGTTACCTCCTTGCCATCTTCTCTCTTTAGTGGACCTACAGTTTCCTTGACTTTTTTCTTGTTATTAATATGTTGAAAAAAACTTTTTTTTTATTATCCTTGATTTCTGTTGCAAGTCTTTGTTCGTTCTGAGCCTTTGCTTTCCTGACTTCGTCTTTGCATGTTTTGGCTGTCTGTTGATAATCAGCCTTAGTTATGTGTCCCTCTTTCCATTTTTTGTACTTGTCCTTTTTGTCTTTCAGATGATGTCTGAGAGATCTTTGTGCAGCCATGCTGGTTTCTTAATTTTCTTGTTTTCTTTTTCAGTGGTATTGTGCTGGACTGGGCTTTTATGATAGCATTTTTCAGAGTTTCCCATGCTTCTTGAGTTGTTTTCCCCTTTAGGATTTTCATCTTTCCTAGGTTCTCTCTGAGTTTGTTAAAATCAGTTCTTTTAAAGTTTAAGACATTGGTTGAATTATTTTCTATTTCTTGTGTTTGCATTATATTGAATTCCAGTATGACGTGGTCACTTTCCCCCAAGGTTCAGGCAACTTCAACTCCCTCTATCACTTCTTCTCTATTAGTAAGAATTAGGTCCAGTATAGCTTTACTTCTAGTTCCCTCTTCTACTTTTGGATGACAAGTTGTTGGCTAAGTTGGTTAGGAATCTGTTTGATCTCCCACTCGCTGCAGAGTTTGTCTCCTAGCTGATATGTGGTAGTTGAAGTCTCCCATTACTACTGTGGTATTCTTCCTACATACATTTCTTAACTGGTTAGCAAAGAGTTCATCTATTTCTTCTGATTGGTTGGGTGGCGTGTAGTATACCCCTATGGCAATGTCAGTTTTTTTCCCTTTTATATTGACCCATATAGATTCTGGAGGACTTTTATCTTTGATCATGTGCATTTCTGTAGATATGTAGTATTCTCTTACATATAGTGCAACTCCCCCTCCTCTTTTTGTAGTTTTGTTTCTTTTGAACAATTTTTATCCATCAGTCCATTCCAGTCATGGGTTTCGTCCCACCAGGTTTCTGTAATGCCAATTATGCTAAATATATATATTAGAAGATACGAACACTCTTATTTACTTAGTGCTTGTAGCTCCCCAAATATGAGATGATGGGAGCAGAGAGATAAAAAGGTTCAGAGTTCATCTTTTCCTAACATTTTCAGAAATTCAGGGCAAGAAGAATCCCTGTTCAGATTGTGAAGAATTAAGCAAGAAGAGCGAAGCACAGAATGGGGAACATATGAGGGAGGTTTGGGGCACTGAGAAGAGCAGAAAAATTTCACAACATGTAAAGATTGTTGAACGTGATACGCAAATGCTGTTGGAATATTATAGAGAAAAAGGGGATGTGGTTTTTGAGTGTAGGATCTTCAGTTTTTCTACCACCTCCTGCTGTGATCTCCTTTGCTTGGAAGTGCCTCTTTAAATGCTGGTGGGTGATAGTAGTGGAAGGTGCTAAATTTTTTCCTTAATGTAGACGACACCAAAGATTTCAAGGGTTGTTTATTTCAGTAATACACTTCAGCTTATAATATAATGTGCCCGTGAATCTGAACATTCAGAAACAACAAAATACATGCTTCTCCAGTGGCTGTATTATGGAGATATTAGTATCCAGGTTGTCTCTCTAATACTGCATAAATCCTCAGGGCGCACAGGACAATTCTACATCAGGGATTTTCAACCTTTTCATTTCATTTCATTTCATTTATTGGACTTATATGCCGCCCTTCTCCCCACAGGACTCAGGGCGGCTCACAGCATATTAAAACAGTATAAAACATTATCCCCAATAAAAACCAATTAAAAACAAATATTTGTCACTGTGTCTTATTAAAATCATTAAAATTGTCCCTATTTAAAATTCACCCTAGGCCAGACCCGCT